TCAGAGGCCGCGCATTCCCACAGAAATGACAATCAAAACGGACAACATGACAATAAAACATGACAATACAAGCAAAACGCAATTTCCTAACATTTAAGGTACTGCTCATGCTTCAAAGTCCGTATAGAAGGTGATGACGATGACAAAGGCTAGAAATGAACAACAACGAATGTAGATGTAAATAAAACAAAATTGAAAAAACTAAGGAAACGCAATAAATTAAAAACGCGTGTGCATTTCTGCGATCCGGCTCGAATCCGGCTTTAATGCTATAGAAATACTTCAAACCACGAGTGGGACGCTTGGGCCGTTTTTATTTTGATGTTTTGTGGGAATGCGATACCTGCGAGGGCTGTTGCAGAAGCAGCACAGTTGCTCTTGAGTTCTAGTCCTCGTCATCATCTTCAGTTCTTATTTTGCAGAACCTAAAATGTTATCCGCATAAAGAAATTGCGTTGTACTTGTATTCCAAAGCGCAATTACAGGACTTGGCAGGAAGCCAAGAGAGCTGCACGCGACCGCGCCGCGCGGACGGTGTTAGTAAAAACGTGAGTTTGCAAAAACGGGCGGCGTAGCAAGGAATTACGACTTTCCCACGGTCCCGTACTCTGACCCCGTGCAGTTTTGGGCGGGGGGACCACGACACATCAACAGCTGGGGGCTGATAGTCTCATACACCCTCAATGTGTTTGCGCGTACCATGTGTCTTTAAAGGTTGAGCCCGCGTTCAAATATGATGGTTTATGCGCCGCAGAAGTAATAGCATCACCTTCGATTCGGACTTTGTGGCATGGGGAACGCCTTAAATGTTTTCCGCATCAGGAGTTTGCGTTTTAATTGTATTCAAAAGCGCAATTGCAAGAGCTGGAGAAGTGCCAGGAGACGCGCGACATGTGCCGCGCGGACGATGGTCAGTATGAACGGGGTCGGGATACGGTAGCGGCGTTCAGCATGTCTGCGCCGCAAGTTGCATTTTGGGCGGAGCATGGAGGATCTAGCCTATCCCACGGCCCTGGATCCCCATGCCCGCGCATGTCGGACGGGGAAACCGCTACGCTTCGCAGCTGAGGACTCTTCAGCCCCGGTCATGCCAAGGACGCACCTCGCAGCTCAGCGTACGTTTTGTTTTTAAAGGAGCAGCGGTCTATGGCTGCGTTCCCATCTGTGGCACTGCAGCGCTGCTGCAATTGTAGCGCGTAAACTCGACGTCTGAATGCTGCTTACGTACACCCAAATTGTTGTGATGTGCTAGGCGCGGCTGCGTGCTCCAATTAAACGCGGCGCGGCGGTAGCTGTGCTTCTGATGAGATATTTTCATTTCAACTCAATGTGGTCAGTCTGTCCAACACTGAAGAAGATGGCAGTTGTCTCAAACTGGCATATTCCACAAGTTACCCATTCTATGCCATGTTTAAATCCCACGCTCACCCCGTCTCAGTGATAAGGAGTGTAGATAGTAGAGATTAGATAACGATAATCCCACTCGTGCGCAGGGAGTCCTTCAAACACCTTCAGGGTTTCTAACGCCAATAATTGTTCATGTAGTCCACTGTCTTGCTCCCCCTAAAAAATCGAAATACCTCCTCTGCTAGAAAATCACCTCGCTGTCAGAAACGCTTGCTCTCTAGACATGTTAATGGCTTGACTTGTAGGCTCTTCAGGGGTAAGATCAATAAATCATACTATGACCCTGGGAAGGTTATACCACCCACATGTCCAGTAGGAATAGCTTTCTTTGTTGATTTTCACGAAGAAAAACTCCGCACTCACCTCCGAATCATGGTCCTTGCTATGTACGGTTCACAGCTGCAGTAACATGCTGCCTTCATAGCTCACCAGGAAAGGTCGCCATGGCCATTCAGGATGAGATGTATTAGGTCATCCCATTCAAAAGTGCCGAAGATCTTATTCATATACAACGAAGAGAAAAACAGATGGAAATGTAATATTTTGGCTTTGAGTCATGTAGATCCCTCCTTCACCATGATGATACGCTCTCAGAGCCCCAAAAACTTTTGGATCTTTGGTACCTTCGTTTTTTTCCAAAAAGTGCGAGTGAATTGCTGTTGATGCCAGTTTCGGCAAATGTCAAAACATTGTAACGGTTGCCGTCGGAGAGTACCCTCGACTGACCAGAGCAGTTGAAATCGAACGGCTTTATGTTGGGCGAATGGGTCGATTAACCCAGGTTTGAGTGTTGTTTGTGTCCCAGCTCTGCCCTGCAATACAGTTACTCGTCATCATTGCTCGTCATAGTGGTCTGGCACTATGACGAGCAACGGCGGCCTTCTTGTAGTCGTACGGTATCATCCATTCGTCGATCTGTTTGCCGAGAAACACGCAATATGCACCGACAGCGTCGATTATTCTCTGTATAGAGTCGCCTGAAAGCTACAGTGTGAAAGTCCTTTGTTATGATGCACATTCACTTGCGCCCACGTAACTCCTCATGATGAACTCGGGCGGCTTCTCATCTGCATTCATACAAAATTGACGATTTTGAGTTTTGGCTCGAGGTCCAAGACCACCCATATTTCATCTAGGGCCGGGGTGCGTATTCACAGTCGTGAACGACTCTTATGCGGGGAACACTACTGCTAGAATGCCTGCATAGTAGAATCGGTGAAGCATTCGGGCTTCTACGACATTGGTACCCATGCGCACACCCTCTTGACCATCCTCAGTTTATTGGACATAACTCGGACACCAGTTGCAGCAGGGATGTCAGTCTCGCGGGTAAGCTCGGCAGGGGTTCAGCCTCTGTGGTCAGAAATTCAGCGCTTGACTTCGTCCATCCTTTTTTCTTGTGCAGGATGACGTTATGGGACCACCGACGACAACAATTTTTTTTCCTTTCTTCCTTCTTCGAGCTCCTGAACCAAATCTTCCACCTTGCATTTTGAGAACACCATTACGCGCAACTTCTGGTCCGGCACAGGTCAAATTTGAGCAGCACACTTTCCTCATATGACGCCTGATTCAAAAATCCGGCGCTGATTTTCACCACTCGAGCTCCATTTCAATTTCTCGAGAACTTCTTCTGTGGGTAGGTTGCTAATTTTGAATTTCACAAATGCATAGTTTAAGGTACTAGCCTACAAATGGTAAAGTAGCCCCTTTGCTTTTCTGCGATTCCTCTATATGTCTCGGCACTTTTGAGTGGGATGACCTAATACATTGGCGTGTGCATCTCGCAACTCTGAACAGATTTGCTTTCAGATTTTGCGGAACGATTCTCTAAGAGGAGTTAGGAGAGGGGTTTCCAGCACAGTACTAGCCGAATACTCTTTGTGCTAGGGTCTTGATAATTGAGTTCGAGTCAATAACTTTAAGTGGGCGGTGGTATAGTGGATAGGCAAGTTGCTTCATAGATGGGAGGTCAGGAGTTCGATTCCTTGCCATGTTCGCACTTTTGCTTTTTCCGAAGCATATCCTGTGAGTCCAGAAAGAACGTCTCTTACCTTATTTTTCGAGTTCGCTCTCACTTGCGGAAGAGATAGAGTCAAGTGCAGGCACTTTGTCAGTTGTGTTTAAATTTTGAGACTTGAAAAATTAGCTGGTTTTCACATAGTACACGAATGTGAAAACTGCAGCTACTGGAGAGCACATGTCACGTTCTTTTGAGAAATTTTCAAGGCAAAACAGCTTCACCAATGAGCACAACGAATAATGAAAAACTCTCTTAAACTGGTGTAGTCACATCAATTCAGAAGGGAGTTAATAGTGAGCAGGTGATACAAGTTCAAAGTGATTCACTACCTACAGGAGCAGGACAAAAAGTTCCTAAATCGAGGAGAGCAAAGTTGAAAATAAACTAGAGAAGAAAAATAGTCAGTCAGTAAAAAGAGTCCTGACTGCGTATAGGGGTATTCATATCGGGAGGTTTATAGATCGACTTAGATAGTAGGAAGGAGTAAATTTTAAAAGGTTGAACAAGGCTGCAGTACCTGGTGTTATCTTGAGGACTTTTAAACGCTATCAGGTGACAAAGCCAGTTGAATAAAGTTGTGGTCTTCAAAAGAGTTCCACGAATCAGCTATCACAAGTGTTGACTGGATAGGCAGCGAAGGATCTTACCCAGTCCAGCATATAATGCTTACTCATAAGATGAGTTTTATCCGCATGAAATACCAAACTAGAAGCTTGAAAATGTCCTTTGGAGGAGAACACTCCATTCGGTACATGTTCCATCGAAGAAATACGAGTCTGAAAGCATACCACATGTGCTCTTCAGTAGCTGTAGTTTGGCTCAGCTGTAGTTCAACTCATCCATGTACCATCTGAAAACCAGCTCATCTTTTAAGAAGTCTCGAGATTTGAGCACAACTGACGAAGTGCCGGCATTTGATCTATCCCTTCCGCAGATGAGAGCAAACTCGAAAAATAACGTAATACACGTTCTTTCTGGACTCACAGAATACGCTTCGGTAAAAAGCAAAAATGCTAACATGGCAAGGAATCGAACCCCTGATCTCCCATCTATGAAGCAACTTACCGATCTGCTACACCATCGGTCGCTTATCCTACTGACTTTCGAACTCAACTTGAGCTAGCACAGAGAGTACTTGGCTTGTACCGTGCTGGAACCGCCCTCCTTCCTCCCCCCCCCTGACTCCTCCTAGAGAATCGTTCCGCAAATTCTGGAAGCAGATTTGAGTTCAGTGTCCCGCACGACGCAATATGCATCCCATCCTGAATGGCCAACGACCTGTTGTCGACCTGTTACCTTTCCTGGTCAGAAGTGCACGAGACTGGGAGGGTAGCGATACGCGACACCCCACGCTGTCGCACGGCCAGCATGGCAGTCCGTTAGGTGGAATACTTAGTGGTAGATCGTAGGATTTTTTGAGAGTGTCTTTCCTGCTTCACGCGCGCCATCAATAATAACGTTGGAAGACTCCCACGAAATGGCCGTATTTGATCGTTGCTTCAAGAGGAGTGTCCCTCCACTAAAGTTGGTGACATAGAAAATTGGTGGAAAGGTGAGAAAACTCAGAAAGATGGTAGCATGGGGAGGTGAGTCTATCAAATTGCCTCCGGATATAATCATGGATAATCATGGATTTTTGAAGCGAACACAGTCCACTAGAGTAGTTGTTCATTTCAACTATCTACCCATTGCTGACCTTTATTCAATTTCCCCGTCTGTGGCTGTACTGCAAGCGCATTGTAAGTTTTTGTCATCGACACCGCTGCTTTCCGACAGGCTCCGGAAGGGTATGAGCGCGGTTTGATGGTTGTGGAGGTTAGGTGTTCCGCATTGCATCATCATCACTGCCCTATTCACCCCATACCCTATTCGCACTTCCAAAGTGGCTCTTTAGGGACATATAAATAACATAACATAAGTGGCAAATAATATATAATAAGGATAGCTCGAAATCTTGAGGTACCGGAAGCGCGCTACATGCCCTCATTGGCCGATCAGACGTCAGCTGCTGTGAAAATCCAGGTAGGACCATGGGTGAAGTGTAACATTGCTTTGTCCGCGTTGACATGAACTTTCTTCCAGGCCTGGTTCAGAGGGTACCGCGAAAGGAAAGGGCTTCAGAAACATCTTGAAGAAAGACGTAGCTTCATGGAAGCTTACCGAGGAAACATCGCAGCCGAGGAGCCTAGCGACATTGTGGACAATGCAGCTCTTAGCTCTCGTCCCGTCCATGAGAAGTGAGCCTTTTCTCTTAATACAGCAAGTGTATTTCTATTATTACTGAGTGCTAGTGACTTTAAGGATTCATGCTGCGGTTGACATGTTGTTTGATCCAAAAATGTATGTATCAAAAGTAGGAGCATTCATTTTGAGTAAGTCTGGACATCATCACTGTTCTTCCTGAAGAGAGAGAGCAACAAAAAAAGATCTGCTGTTACAGATAGGCTGACGGCCCTTTCTCCACATTTGTGTGCGTATTTGGTAATAGACGCACAAGGACTGGCTGCCATACTGGACATTTTTGAGCAGAAAACTACTGGTCGCGGTCCAGCCACCGCGGAAATTCTTGTTATCTTGCAGGAAGTCTTTCTCAGAATAGTAACGGTGAGTTAGATTTTCTCAACTTTCAGGTTTTACCATGCAAAGTGGAAGTATCAAATCATTGACAATACAAAACAGCTCACTACCGGAGTGCTCTCCGCAGTCATAAGGTCGCGTTCATACCTTGCTATTCTGGAGATAGGGCACATTATCGCTGGGGACTCCCTAACAGGAAGGTCGTATTTGATCTGAGAAATTTTTTTGATAGCTGATTTTTCGTGTTTCACGGACGCTATAAGGGAGTCGTATTTGTCTTTGTGAGAAGTTTAGAGCGCTGGGAGAAAATTTTCCCGGTTGTTGGCTTTTCACGATTTTTGCTGTTTCACATGTGTTATAAAGCCGCTCCCCCTTCCTTTTAAGTGGAAAATTTTGGGGAAGAGACTGGGAAAATTTTCGGGAAATTCCGAAAAAAACTAGAAAAAGTGGTAGGAAGCTGGGAAAATCTAAAGAATTGGTAGGTGGGATGAGGATGGGGCGATCGTGTTTTCGTCGGGTTTTTCCCGCTTCTTGTGTGCTATGTACCCGCTCGACAGCTCGATCACATCGTATCGAACCACCTTTTAGGGAGGTACGTACGGATCTACTGAAATTCCCATGTAATAATGTGCCTCTGGAGATCCGACGTTTTCGGCCATCGGAGACTACACTGAGAAGATTTCACAACATTAAGACTTCGCGATGACGCGCTGTAACGGGCGTCGAGGCGCTATTTGCAAGAGCGCTTCAAAGTTATAGACGCGAACACAGCAGAAGATGGGAACTGATCGCCGCTGGCCGCTCGTATATTGAGATAGTTTGAGGGAACAGGAGTGTATGCGTTTCCCAACCACGCAGTCCGGCATCGATCCTGGCCGCCAGGGCTTTGGAAAATTATCACTCCATAATATAATTCGCTTTGTCTGTTTGTTTGTGAGTTTGTAAGTTAATAAGTTTGTAAGATTGTAAGTTTGTCTGTCCGGAAATTCGGTTCGACCTGAAGAACGACTTGGAGAGGTCCAGTCAAGGTGGGGATAGGTAGGGCATGAGACAAGAAATAAAAAGCACACTTGATCTATGGCAAGCCCCGCCCACAGTGGGCAGAGCTTGCCCTAAATCGCAGGGTATTCATTTTAAAAGTTTGTAGCTCGGTCCCAGAACACTCCAGATACCGGAAAAAAGTGGATTAAGTTCAGCAGAGGGTCGTCGGTGAAGAATATGGGGCACAAAAATTGGGGGCGGAGCCTGCCTCGAGGTGGGCGGAGCCGGACAAAAATTCTTTAGAACGGTTCCAGAACACACCACACACCGGAAAAAAAGGTGGATTAAGGTAGAGGGTAGTCGGTGAGGATTGTGGGGCAAAAACATTGTGGGCGGAGCCTGCTCTCGAGGTGGGCGGATCCAGACAAAAAGGTCTGTAAAACAGTTCCGAGCACTCCGAAAGACCGTAATAAAGTGAATTCAGGTCAGCAAGGGGTCGCCGATTAGGAAATGTGGGGGGACATATTGTGGGCGGGCCAGCCCGGGGTGGCGGTGCCAGGCGAAAATTCTCTGAAACTGTCCCAGAGCACTTCAAAGACCGGAAAAAAAAACGTGGATTAAGGTCAGTAAGGGTCGCCGGTGAGGATTGTGGGGCAAAAACATTGTGGGCGGAGCCTGCTCCGAGGTGGGCGGAGTCAGACGAAGAATCTGTGAAATAGCTCAAGAGTACTTCAGACACCGGAAAAAAGTGGAGTACAGAACAAAAGGCGGATATCAGTGGAGTCTAGAAATATGTGAAAGAAAATCGCCCGGCCCAGCCGGCCGTGTCAGAAGGAGGCGCGCCGGCGTTAGCCGGCGAGCCGACTGGTTGTAGAATGGGAGAGCATCAGTTCTCGTGAACGCAGCTCCTGCCCTCCTGTTATCCCAAGCTTTATCAAAACACAGGCGGCCGCCGCGTAGATACAGTCCTCATCATTGCGGACCGGTGGGGCGTGGCACAGCGGCTGCGTTTGATGCGGTTTAGCAGAGTCGTTCTGCACCAGTTTTTGAAGCAGACAAGTGCATTACTGTATTGTATCCTTCGTATTATTCCTTCTTCTATCCCTTTTTGTCACATACGCGTTTCAACAAAAAGGCTGAGAACGGCTCCAACAGTGTGCGCACTCCTTCTGGCTGACACGCCCCACCGGTCCGCAATGATGAGGACTGTACTCGTCTGCGGCTGCGTTCGCCTGTATAAGATTAGAGCGCTGTGGCAACTTTAACGCGTCGACGCACCATAGAGAAGTCTGAACGCTACCTTAGATATAGTTTGTAACATTGCAGTCAGACGGGTGGTGGCAGCAAGGGACGGGATGACTGCCTTGCTTACGGTAGTGGTCCGTTAGCGATCGATCCAGGAAGATAGCATCCAGTATCGAGGGGCTGCAAGTGTGCTCATTCATTCTTTCTATTTACTGTCTAATAGCGATGCTATAAACTGCACGTGCCGACTGATTATGCCACGCTCGTCTGCCAACTCAAACATCAGAACCATCTAGTACAAGCATATAGTACGTTCAGAGTAGTCTTCCGAAACGTCGCATCTCCTAGCGTCTATCGAGATACCTACTTTCTTGTAACTGAGATAGTAGTACGAGCTCTACAAAGTCACAGGGTATGGACACGGCTTCAAATCTTATAAGCCCCACAATTACAGTGGATATTGTCGCAATCACTCGGAGCGGTTTCAAGAGGGGAATTAGCCCACCATCGGCGTTTTTTACCACTGGTTGTTTCACAGTTGGTAGAAAAGACAGTCGGGAGTGGGCTTATCTCTCCCATTTCAACACCACCACTACTGATTGCGATGTTATCAACTATACCTATCAATAGTGCAGCGTGAAATATTTATAAGATTCCTATCAAGGCACGATATGCCCTCGTTAATCACCGTGATCTTCCATACTGTTTAGTGTTCGCACCCATCGGTGAAAGCAGAAGTGGATGCAAATATAGGAGATTGTGTGAGGGTTTCACTTCATATATTCCATGCTTTTTATATTAACCCCGTGATCGTGCACGGCTTTGGACGCGCTATTCTGGCTCTCTATCGTCGGCCTAGTGCCAAGCCGCATTTCGATAAGGCCAAGTTCTACCTCAACTACGCCTCCAAAAGGTAATGAATATTTCTGTCTCAGGAAGCACAGTTTTGCTACACTCAGTAAACTCCAGATTCGCTCGATTGCCTGGTACTGATCCGCGTAAAATCGTGCTATCAGAAATGAGGAGCGAGATGCTGTCTAAATGAATAATTCGTACAAATTCGTGGTCATGTGATATATCAACGTACTCATCTCCTTGTACCTCATGTTATTCGTTTACTATGTCACCCGCTTCTCACTGGCTTGTCAGCAAGGCCGTTTCTTGAAGCATGTAGAATTGACCAGATTTCTTGTGCATTAGGAAGTAATAAATAATGTCTATACATGTCTTTGGAAACGCGGAACTATTAATTAGTCCCATGAGTCTGATGGGCTTAGGGGATATTTTTGTCCCCCTTTGTCTGATTTTTTCCTGCCAACTATGTTCGTAAATGGGCTCTCATGATGTGGCCAACGCAAAGGAGATCAAAGACAAAGGTAGCAAAAAGTTGAACATAAGGCTGCGTGCACACTTTGCGACCGCGTCCACTAGCGTAGCGAAGCCAGCGACAAGGAAAGTGTAAATGTTGACCTAGCGAACACCAGCGTACACGAACGTATTCCAGCGTACAGCAACGTCCAAGAGCGGAGAGAGTGGGGACGTAGAAGGCCAGATAGCTGGATTAGGCTGTCATGAAGTTGCGGCGTGTGCAGCGTGCAACTGCTAAAGCACAGAATTATGCAATCTTGGCGTACGGTATAGTGCAGCTGTAGCGTGAGGTTACACGCCGCATTCACAGAACCTTATCCATATGCTGCCACCCTCCTACTTCCCCACTCTCTACTGCCGGACGTTGCCCTACGCTGGCAAACATTTACATACGCCGGTGTTCGTAGATCAACATTTACACTTTCCTAGTCGTTGGTGCTGACGTTCGCTCGAAACGCATGCTTGTGGACTGCTGCAGGACCTTGCAGCGCCTGGGAGCGCTACAAGTTGTTCGTTGTTGTTCATCTCGCTTCATGCTCCGACTTGCGACCATCCAAGGTATCTTGAAACAGTAACTACCTGACATCAGTTCTGGTCATGGGCCGGCTAGAAAGAAGCAGGTCTATTGAAGGGTCCTTTCAGTCATAGCACCTTCCGTATATGCAGCGAATATACCGAGATGCTCCTCTTGGCTATGTAATTAAGCGAGTCGCACAAGACACCAGTCAGGAGGAGCAGGTTTTTGAAATCCCATCCCGAGCCATGCAATCTCACGGCTTGCTGCACACAGACCGACGTGAGGAATCCCTCCTATGTACTAGTACAACTCCACAGCCGCAGAACTGGTATACGGCGATTCAATCGTTGGGCACTGATAGGTCCACGATCCGCGCCACGCTTGTAGGCATGACTGGGGACGCTGCAAGCGTGGTGTACGGGTTGTGTTGTCTCATGCTCCACCAATGCAATGCTAGGTAAGAACGCTTTGAGCTAACACTACTCCCTTGTTCCAATGACAACCGTGGAGGTAATACAACACTGCGGTTGCCGCGGCGCTTGCCGCGCGCGACGAATGCTCCGCGGCGCTACACCACGAATGCCGCGGCTACCCTGGAGTTTACGTAGTCCAATTTTCCTAAGTGTTTTTTTTAGCCTCACCCGTCTCTTTTCACCAAAAACATCTCACGCTTCATTGGCTAGGCACCGTTCCGACTTCGCGATGACGCGCGTCGATCCGTTATCATTGCAGTGGCGCTCCTGTACTGTGGACGGGTACACAGCCTGTTGTTGAACGATGCCAGTTCTAGTGTATCAGGAGAGTATAACACTACTGCTTAGGTCGACTGTAATCCGTCCGTTCCCGTCCATAACATCTGACTGCTTTTGCAGTGGCAGCGCAGCGCGCCTCGCAAAGCGCTGCCTTATCAATAGATGTGCTCTGGTAGATGAGAACCAGCTACCGTTCCCCACTCCCTTCAAACGAACATAATCACAAGGCTAAGGAGGAAAAAAAAGTGCAAATGTACAGAGATTTATTTCTGGTGAGCTTCCTATAGGACATCTGCCAACAAATCGAATTTCATCCGCTTGTGATGTTTTAGTTACTATGGCAAAAAAAAACTCATATAATAAGCAATGGGAAGATAATGCAAATTTGAAACAATGACTAGATAATGATTATGAACATGAAAAATATGTAAGTACTCATAAAATGACAATAGCCTGAGCTGATACAATTGAAATGATGTTAGAGGTCAACAAATGAAAACGCCTGAAAAACGTTCACATCAGACCACACCCATAATGGATTCATAACTGATTTACTTTAGTGATATGTTTCCTGTCAATTACTGCTGCTTTCCGCTGCAGCTTACGATTGGATGCTCAGAATTTCTCTTATTGTTATTGTCGTATAGGAACGAATTGTACGAATAAACGCAAAATAATGATTACTATAACGAGCATGTGCACCATAATTGGAACCGATTTCTACCCATAGGCAATAGAGTTTGTGAGGTGTTTCACCTTACAACTCTCAGTGACAGCAATATTGTCACTTTCAGACTTGATGTTTATTCTCAGAAATGTGGACTGCAAGAGATAGACTTTTCTACAGTATCGGAATTCAACTCAAACCTGTCATTGTTTCAATGGCATTTCCTACGCCCAACCAATTCGCAAACGTCCCTCTTTGTACAAGTGGCCTGATCCTTAGACTGTAAGATTACAGCGGAACCGCGGCTTTACAGTAGGTAACGAAGCCGTTGCGGTCCCCATGAGTGGCAGCTCTGACGCCTCTCTAGTTGCCCCACCCAGCCAAACGCGAAGGCATTTTCTGTAACGAGTTCGGTTTCCACGCCATTTTTTCCCGTTAGATGATGGAATTAGATGACGCAAAAAGCGAATAGTGGCCAGGAAGCGGCAGGGTATAGCTTTGCTGGCATAAAATGACTAGGACCACCCGTTCGATTAGGTTACAAGGGGGACTCACTCAAAGACCACGGGTCTATAATCGAATGGCACTATTCATTATGCAATCGCGGATTGTCTTCATCCGCCATGAAATGAAGGGCCAGTGAAAATTTTCGAACATGCCTATTCGGGTGCAAGTTCTCAATTCAAACGATACACTCATTGTGACGACAACATCAGATAATCTATGGCGTTATTCGTCTTATGGGAGGGGGAAGCGGTCTCATCACTTCCCTCACTTGCCACTGTGGTCACTGACCGGCAAACCTTGTGACACTAATAACAACGGTATTGCCTTTACAAAAGTCTAAAGACTTCCAGAAGATTTTCAGTACAAGCTTCACGAAGAACCATTCCAACGTTTCCTAGGGGTTTACAGGTCCCTGCCCCCTTCGTTGGGAATCAGCTAAACACTTCGTGCAAGGCAATCTGCGCCCTTCAAATCGTACGTAGGGTGAATCCCTCTCCACGATAGTCTGATGAACTGACGTCTATCACCGCTATAGGTAAGCAAGCTTCCATATCCTGACACACCCCGTAGTACTGATGTTATTCCTTGTCTGCTGTGGACGGCAACAGTTGTAGCTGCATGCTCCACGTTACCAACCCACATGTTCTACCCCGGCATCACCCTTGAGGTATGCATAAACAAGAAAAAATAAAGTTGCCCTTTACGGCAAGACGTATCCATTCTGGTCATCTAGAACGAGCTGAGCTGCTGCTAGCCTTGTTCTCGCTATATCTGATGTCCCCCGAAATGGAACGGCTTTTGTTATCAACAGTTCTATAAGACCAGAACTGCTAGAAGCTGCTGCATCATCGATGACTGTCCTTATCCACCAATCAGTAAATCGCTGAGATCGTTTTCGGTCATTCTGAAGCAATTTACTGGTTAAATAGTGTACATCGAACTTGACATCATAACCCGATTTGACCTATAATGGACCAACATTTGAGGAGAAACCCGTGATCGGTAAGTTGTGCAGCTGGTATCCACATCAGCCACTTCCAAGTCTTCAAGTACTTCCTGTGGTAACCCTTTGAAGCACATTCGCACAAAGTCCATGTCAGCTAAAATAATACAATCGAAACATTCGTACTTTTTAGCTCTGGTTGTAGCAGGACATAAGCAGAAGGAAAAATGGTTTTGGAGTTCCCGCCATATTAGAAATTGGGGACGATATTTTCGGTACCGATAGAAAACAAAACAACTCTTTTCAGGATATGAAAAATGTAATAATAATGAACCGCGACCAGCACAGCACATTTTTGACAAAACAGTTTCCATACATGCAGTGACTCAAGGAAAACCAATCTAGATGCAAAACAAACCGTAATCCTCGGAGGTCTTCCAACATGCGGGACAGTGTGCCACTGCATCGTATTCATTCTCGTCCTCTCTCGGTAGAGGTGAATCGAGCGTACGTGGATATCCCTCCTCAGCGACATGGTGCAACTTTCGATAAGCAAACTCCGGGTACAATACTGAAACGGGAAAAAGAACACTCTTTACAAGAACTCATGCTCATCATTGTTCCGTATATAATTTTCAATTTGAATTCAATTTTTAAAACGAAATCACGATTTTACGAATCAAATTCACGACTTCTCAAACAAAATTCACAACTTTTCAAACCAAATTCACGACTCTTCGCATCAGATTGACCACTTTCCAAAACAGACTCAGACCTAGTCACCCAGGCCTTACTGGACACTACTGCAAGCCTCTTTAATAAAGCCACGCCCGCACTTCAGCGTGATCGTGATTTTTCAAATTTTATTTCAATTCAAACTTCTGAATTTGAATTTTTGCACTTGTGTTATTTCGCAAATATACACTGTTGAAAAGATGCTCATCGGCACATGGGCAAATCCGCCCTTTTTTCATAGATTCGATGCAGACTTCGGCTTTTCATAACTTTTTTTTCAGCGTCGATGTTTTCACACCCACTCCTCACACAACGAATAAACCGGTAGACGCGCATCAATGCACCGGAAATTTAGGCTCCGCCCCTTTGGCACGCTCACTTTTGCATATTTTTGCGGAATTTTGCTATTTCTTCAAGACTTTCACATTTTTGGACTGGTACAGGAAGCCCAGCTCCTTATGAGAACCTCTGCCCACAAACAAAAGCTGCCCGTTTTTGCCTGATCTGTTTGTCCCGAGTGACGGGTACTATCTTACCCATAATGTCAGGCTCTAATCTCCTGATTCAAAGCCTTTTTCAAAAGTGAGTGGGGCTTCTACGAAGTGGGCGGAGCTTTCACAATGGGAAGGCTTCTTGTAGCAGTCAAAAAATGTGAAAGTTCGAAGAAATAATAAAATTGGGCAAAAACATGCACAATTGGGCGTGGCCAAGGGGCGGAGCCTAAATTGCGTATAAATGGCGTCTATGGATACCTTCGTTGTGTGAAGACAAGGAGTAAAAACATCGACGCTGAAAAAGTTATGAAAAGTTGAAGGTTGCAACAAATTCTGTAAAAAAAGGGGCGGAGTGGCCACATGTGAACGTAGGCTAATGCCGTTTGGACTCCTCAATTTCAGCACCGAGCTCATTTTGAAATTACCTAAGTCACCAAATCCACTTAAAACTTGTATTTAGGGGTAGTTTAACATCCTGATTACGAATGTGACATTCACTTTTGCCGTGGCGTTAATGGCACTACGACTATCTGCGCTCCGCTAAGGCTGAGCCCAAGAGGTAGTCGTAGTGTCATCCTTTGGCGCCAGCGCCAAGAATGAGTGTCATAGTTGTAATCACGATGGTAAATAACCCTTGTGTACATGATTTCATCAGGTTTGGTGACAAAGGCAATTTGAAAATGAGCTCGGTTCCGAAATTGCTGGAGTCCAAAGCATTAGCCGGAGCATTAGCCGTCAACGTACAGTCCTTCGTTGCTATGTATGGGCGTTGTATCAAAAAAGGTAGAAAAAAAGTCACAAAAGCAGAAATATGAAGTAAAATTTCGAAAGTGATGTCCACGCTTGTAATGTGGGCGTGGCTGTGGGGTGAGGCCTGCGGTAGTGCCTAGTGTAGCATGCTTAACTAGTCGTGAATTTGGACTGAAAAGTCGTGGATTGGGTTTGAAAAGTCATTAATCCAAAGTGAACGTTGTATATATGAAGCAGAGGTCGTCCATCTGTTTGTATGTGTCTATTTGTTGTGTCTGCAAAAAAGGCTTTGAGATGCGTGGGACATAAGACAAGAAGTACAGAGCACATACATAGGCTTCACTTCCAATAGGGCATGGACAATGCTGAGGACAAAAACTCGTAGAACCATCTCAAAACAGTTCAAAAAACCGAAAAAAAAGTAGAGAAGGTCAGCAGCCACTGTGGTTGAAACGAGGGAGGTACATATGCGGTAGGCGTACATCCGTTGACTAAGTGGCGCTTGCTGTAGAAACTCACATTTAGGCAAAGGCAAGAACGAACAGCGACAAGGGCACGGTCAGCAGTAGCTCAAAAAAAATTTGAAGGTCGGATACAACTTCCTTCTACAATAGACTCCACTAATGCTCTAAATAGAGCAGAGCGGAAAAAAAAATCAAAACAGAAACAAGTATTCTCAAGGTAAGACGCGACCCCTCTCCAGCAGTCAAATATGTAGGGGGGCCGGCCGATGTTAAAACAGCGTTCTTGTCCTCCCAGCAGGTAGAATGGACTGGATGGGAGCCAATCCCCAGCCCGCGCGCGGATAAGTGGTTAGAAAGGTAGGATGTTAAAATAACTTATTTAACGGCGCGCAAAGAACTTATTTAACGGCGCTCAAAGCGAAATGTGCTCACATTTCGGAACAGCTGCTCTTTGAATTGCTGTTACATTGCCATAATGGTCAATAACAACAGGCGGTACTGGAATCGGCGCGGGCGAAACCATAAGATGACATCGTCCTCGTTCTCCAGTGATGGCTTTGAAGTGGAGTCCGTGCTAGAAAAAAAAAGAATTATCAGCTTCAAAAGCCCTCACATTCAGTAAAGACGGAAGTAGAGATTGTTACAGAGAATAAAGTACAAAAAGGAAACAAACCACGGTAAGGAAGTCTACGGAAGGCTGTTTGCTTCCCTCTTGATCTACCGTAGAACCTGACTGAAGCACGAGCGTACGGTCCATGAGTTCTAACAGCTCCTCCATATCGAGATAAGCTGGTCTGGAAAGACCATACGAGACTGAACCAGATCAGAAAAGCGACTTTTAGCTATGGAAGGTTACCTGTTATCCAAGTCGGAAGCAAACGGCATTTCGGTAAGTTTAAGCTTGTGCTCTGGTCCAAATATGCCAGCTACAGATAAATTTGTCCGCTGTGCCATATCGAAAACGTCAATTCCTTCTGAAAAAATGAATATTTTCACGTTCTAGCATTTAACACTCCAACAGTTCTACTGTTACAATATTATTACCGATTGCTGTGCTTGCAAAATGTTCTGTTCCATTACTCTACCTTACCATACATCCAAGAGTAACTTTTGAACGTGTTTTCCATGACCAGCAAGCACTGGCCTTCTTCGCGGTAAATTCACGCTTTACCTCGCTGAGATTGAGAAAATGAGAGGAAAAGAGCGAATTTTTTTCGGCGAAATATCCGCAGCGCCAATGATAAAATGATTATTATTACAGAAAACCTGATAACTCGCAAATAGGTTCATTCCAGCGAGAATTTCAATATGACCTTCAAAATTATTGAGGAAAGATGGGTGCTCTATTTCGCACCAGAAACTGAGAAAATAGCCAGAATGCATCCCTCGAGAACTCAGGCCCTACCTGGAACAACTATGGAACGGAATTTTGCGCTCTTTGATTCATTCTATTTTATTCGGTCCACTGAGGACACACATATCTTCATGCGATAGTTGCGATACTCTCCTCCAGCATTGCGATACTCTCCTCCAGCATACTATGTTCTCACAACTATAGCTCTTCAGTGAGGCCTATGCCAAAGTTGTAATTCGTACTCAAGAGGTCTACCACTACCAGAATTCTAACTAGATTCCAGGGGTAATTCGAAAATATTTATCAGTCAAGGCAGTTGCAGTCTAGCATTGGCAAACGCTGATGAAGCACACGCCAAAAGTCGTAGTTTGTAACAGTTTGTAACCAGGCTCAAAAAAGAGAAGAACAGCAGCCTGCGTCTCACCACAGACATATAGGCGAGCTTCCATGTGATAGCGACAGCATATAGGAAAGCACTAATTGTGAGGAGTCAACTACAAAATTTCTTCAAGAAATCGTTTAGCGGATTTATATGAGCATTTAAAACAAGTATGGTGGCACAGATCCCGTGCCAAATGCCAATGGCGTTCTAAAATCCTTCCTTTGTAAGTAAAGCGTGCAAAAGCTCATTGATTATCTAGTCCATAACACAGTTCACCCTCACATGCAGAGTACGCCCTGTTGCTAGGAGAATTTTCTGAAGATACAGCTCCCCACCAATTCATCCTATGCTACGACCCCCCCCCCATTACCACTCATCAACTTTTACCAGCCTCCTATCACATTTCCCGCGAGTTCCCAAGAATTTTCTCATTTCCCTCGCCCTTAAAATTCTACCGACGAGCAGGCGGGCAGGATGTCACCGACCAAATACAGGTTTACGATCCCTGCCCCTCCCCGGGAACTCCTTAAGGGACGTGCCCTGCTCGCATGTAACAAAAACTAGGAATGATCGGGCGCAAAGGGAATATCGAAAAAAGAAAAAATGTAGGAAGAAAGAGAAATACGGGCAGATGACAACAAAGGGTCAGAAAAAGCAAAATTATGAAAGCCAAACGAACTGTTTCAGAAACCATCAGAACTCTCGGCATCAACAAAAGCTTAGTAAGGTACAGATGAGTAGCAGATATTACATGCTCTTGCTTCCAAACAGTCTCACCAATGACACATCCAGGCAGTGCATTGTGCAGATAGCGCATTGTGTTCCATCTTCTCCTCTTCGTTTGCCTCTTTTCATTATAAACACGACGACAACGCGATAAAAGCTGTGCATTTGCAGTTCGTTGACTTGAAAACGTACAGAGACCTTCGCGACGCTTGAGTGGAATCCTTAAGATAATTGTTAAGAATAATGCACAAAAGAAAAACAATCTTGACGTACATAAATCGGCACTATTTACCTTTGTTTGCCCACTCTCCGAAACTCTGGCCCGATCTTCACTGGGCTTTTTTCCAGAGGGAGTGAGGAAATTTCGGTTAGGATTCAAAATTTTGGAGCCCCGGAAACGAAAAAAAGCTCGGTGTCGCTCAAAACAACCTGGCTTCCGTGCCACACCGTCTATGCTAAAACATTTTAAAATACTATAGGTGTCGAAAACGCGTCTTCGAGGTAATTTTGATCCTTCGACCACACATATCACACGACTTAGCGTGAAAACGCCTGTTACACAAGCTACGTATGACGATGCCAAAACTACCTCAAGCGCTTGTACCTGTGGTACGGACACCAATCACCTTTACTTCAAACAGATTGTAGTGCTCAGCGGATCAAAGTACAACCGAACAGAGTTTTGGTAAAATTCATCTCAAAAAACTTTGATCAAAATCTGGCCCGATTTTGCGAAGAGTGGGGCAGTAAAGGGTAAATAATTTCAAAGAATCTACACAACCAGTCAACAAAAGCGTACCATGCTTTGGAGGGTTTTGTTTTCTTGTCAGCTCTTTTCTTAGCAGCTTCAACACTTTCCGTATGTTCTCGCATGCGTTCAGACGTGATTGCATAACACAAGTCCAATAAATCACCAGGAATCTCATCAGCCACTTTTATACCATTTTTGCTGTAAATTGGAAATTGAGTCCTGCGCTGCCTTAGAGTTATTGTCCGTGAGAACAATGTTCACTGACACAGCTATAAAAAATTATTTCAAAAAAGCCTCACAGTCTATAATAGTGGTTGTAAGCCACACTAACACATTCTGCCACGAATTTTTCAAAGTCTCCTCCTATCGCTGATGCACATTGCTGGAGTGGACCATAGACTTTCCAGAGACGATGCATCGCAGCCCACGGAGGAAAAGCTAAAATAAAGTTGCATGATTACGTGGGCTCGACTACTCCAACTAGTTGACTCCATGGCTCATCATAAAGCATTATGAAAATTCTGCTCCGTGAAAAATGTATTTTTTATTTACTCACTTGGGATTAGGAGTCTATTCTGAGCTCTATTAATTGCGAGAATTCGTGACGCTACCCATTCCGCATTATCAGAGAATGGGATTTCACGTTGATCCGGGGTCGGAATGGGAACTATATCTGCGATCAGAAGCTCATAAGCATCTCGGTGCTCGCGATAAAGCTCGCTCAAGATTGACGTCACTTGAACAGCACTTCGATCACCAACTCTAAATTGCCAAAAAGAGTAGCACTGTAATAAGGAACTTGGCTACAGCGCATCAAAAGAGAGAAATGGATAAAAACGCAACCTGAAACAGTCGCCATTCTTGCGTGTTACCATTTGCTGAATGAACTGCTTACAACAACTCATAGCAATAAATTCCTGTTGCTCACTGGAAATAGAGATCGATTCAACGTGAAAAACGAAAAAAACGAAACGAATCAAAAAAGTTGTAACTCACTACGACAATTTCTGCGGCAATGCTTTGAAGCGCAATGCAGCTCTGCTCCTTTTCAGGTGCCTGCAATCAGAGAGATTACACATTCCAGCCGTATAATATCACCACTATTTTATAACATACTCTACTTCCTCATCAGAAGAACATTCATCTTCATCTTCTGTGGATGCAGATTCATCACTAGAAGTTAGTGGCGCTGTTGGAACGGTCTCATTTATCCTGAAAAAAAAGAACAGCCTGATCCTTAAAGTGGAATTTAAGGGAATCATGAAGTCATCAAGAGATCTGGATAATCTGTCCAAAGAGGAATGACTACCCGTCACTATGCTTTTCTATGGGAGGAAGCCATTCACAAAGGCTCAGTTCGAGACTACACATGAGACTTCAAGCTAGTGATGGAGAAAGGTAGCGTAGATCCCAAATGACTGTCTGATTTGAGCTTCGCGTCGAAACTTTGCAAGATAGGGGCGATAAGGCACCAAACTGCTCGAGTGACTTTGCTGTAAGGTAGTGGTACCCCGGACTTCTCCATCATCACCCTGCTACGCTCAAAGTGCAGCACCCACTTGCATTGATACCAAGACGGCAACAGCGAAACAACCACTCAGTGGTTGATATCAAGCAGGAAAAAAGAGAGCGCAGACAATGAGCCCGTTTGGCTATGGCTGGGCACTTGGCGAGCTGTGCGGCAGCATGAGCGTGCATTAAGGTGACACCTTGGTATCACTACCCTCTAGACTGTTCCCGTGCACGGTGGTTGAGAGAAAATGGCGCGCCACCGCAGCTGAGGGCCCGTTCTCCCCACACATGGCAATGACCAGAATCCACCGGGGTGAGTACGCAGTGAGTGTCTTCGAGAAGACGTCATTAATTGCCCCTCCTCTTCAAGCCTTGAGTGAAATGTGCGAAGAAGGCGGGAGAAAGGCACACCAATGACGTCGTTTTCCGTTACCGCCCACCAGGCACTCAGGAAGATCATGAATTGGGTATAAATGCAATTTAATGTCATGTGGCTCATAATAACTGCGTAACTAACTAACTAACATAACTAATAACTCACGCTTTGTTAACACTTTCATCATCAGAAGTGTCAGAAGAGCTCCCAACCGTAATTCCTTTGAATTGTTTGCTGAAACAGAAAAGTAAAGTCCATAACAGAGCAGTAATTTTGCCGTCTTTTGCAATTGACTCACCACGTTAACGACAAGAAGGCGCGATCCTCGATTCTGATAGTCTTCCGACAGCGACTGAACGGAATATCTGCGCAAATATTGAAACCGAAAAACACGTTTTCAACACGTTTCGGTTTCTCTTCACTCTCGTCGCTATCGTTTATTTCCCATGGCACAACATCGAATGGCTTGAACCGTCTGACCAGTTTTTCGAAAAACCAAACAGACTCCACATCGTGTTCCGGACGGATTTCCCATTTTTGCAAGCAAAAATTCTCAAGCAAGTATGTGATCCCTTGTTGCCACGCGAAACGCCGACACAACGGCTGCAAACGTTTTGGCATGTTTCGGCATACGGCTATTGCCAGTTTAGCATGCTTTCTAGACATTGTCGACCATACCGGCACACCGATTTGGTCGTCGTTTGAGTCCGACCCTTCCGGAGAACTTAGAATAGAAGTGAATGCCTCTAAAGTCAGAGGTGATACGCTTGGACTTAGATCCCATCCTCTTCGAACAGTTTCGCTATCAGTCGAATCATCATCATTCGATGTGCCGCCTTGATGTTCTTTCTCTTCAACACTCCACATCTCATCGTCACTCGCGTCAGACTGCTCCTCATTCGACAGCAACTCGGCCTCCCTAGATGTGCTTGAGATGTCCATCTGCTGGGGAATAGCCACTTCGAGAGGACTCAGGCTTTGCGAAGTTTTCGATGAGAACAAGGATTCAGTAGCAGCTGACTGAGCAGCATCCATTTTTTCGACTTCAGAAGCGGGGAGATGTCTCTGTTCCTCTGAGGTATGAAAATGCTGCTCGCTTCGGACCGAGGTACCACTAGGATGTTGCTGTCGCATACGGCCGGGCAATACAGCTGACGGCGCTCTGTAGGGAATATTCCGACATTCTTTCTCGCTGTTTGCTACCTGCCCAGATTGGCCCTGCGTTTTCGGAACTATGGTTCGAGTTCCCATAGGCTCAAGAGCCTCCAGATCCAGAACTTCTTTGACTTTTGTCAACTCATCTTCACTTGCATCAGATCTGAACGGGGAGACACAGAGACCACTTCTTATGGCGAATTGAGCATGATGGTAAGGCGGAAGCAAATGTTCCTGGAAAAAGAAAAGTATTATCTCACCATTATCTCACCTCGGTCATACTGACGAACAGTCTGTAGCTCTTTAAACGGGCGAGTTTTAGCGAATTTTCTGTAGAAGGGCGTTTTAGCAGCTTTTCACTTTTTTCTTAAATGTTAAACTTTTAACTCGTTCTAAAAACATTTCTTGCTCAATATAAGGTCTTTTTATAGATTGGAACGAACAAAAACACGCAAAAGAAGATTCAGGAGAAAACGCAGCGTTTGAGGCGAAGGTACGGTTTGTGGCAGGGGTGTGCCTCACCCTCCAGAAAATGGGGTGTATGAATCAAAAATAACATACACTTATAAAAAGTACCTGCATTCGCGTTCGTGGAATTCCCTCCGGTATTACAGTTGGTTCCACCATAATTGGAGGGAGTTCAGACAGGAACATGAGATCCTTAGACGGAGTCGGTTTCTTCGTCGCATTTTTGTCCCTCTCAGCTAGACTCTTCTTTGCAATGCGTTGCTCGTTCATCAGGTAGACGTATCGCATAGCCCTCATCTCTTCCTCCATCAGTTCGGCAGGATGCCTTTGCTGAACGGGAGTTCGTTCCGACTCTTCAGGGACGGTGTGTTGCTTTTTCAATGGTAACTGATTGCGTAAATCCTCCCCCAGAATTGCTTGGTGATGACAAACAGCTTGCTGCCGTGGAGGTGGGGCAGGTTGAATAGGCACGTTTTGACCACTTGGAGGAGCTTCAAGCATTTCTGATGAATCACGACGTTGATGAAGCCGATGCGCGATATCTTTGGCGTTTACTTGTAGGGGCTGCTTAAGACTATACTGCAAATTGGGGCGAGTGTCAGTAGGATATGTGGGCGCAAACGAACGCTTCAGAGCTCTGACTTCTGAGCCCGCCAAGCCACTTCCATCGAATATCTCGCCACGAGGATCTTTACGATGTTTCTGTTGCTGTGGTTCGTTCTGTACATTATCGTTTCGCTGAGCTTGAGAGCGCTGAAGTGGGAAAGTGTGAGGCGGTGGTGCATGCTGCTGATGATACTGTGAAGCCTGAGATACAGCAACACTACTGGAATGAGATGCAGCTGCACCTGATGCTATATGTGCGACCGCAGTTTGGAGAGCTGGGTGAGAATGATGTGAGGGAACTTGATGAGCGTTTTCAAACACCGTCTGAACACTCAGATGCGATGATTCTAGACGAGTCACAGTCGAGTTTTGCGATGGCCATCCAGGCAAAACATGGGCGGCTCTTGGCTGGTAGCTGAACGTCGCTTGCCCAAAAGGCGCTTGATTATATAACTGTGTTGCTGGAACTATCGAAGGGAAATGTTGTGAGGACAGCAACTGTTCATATTGAGACTGCTGCGGCATCTCTTGACAGTTCCTCTCAGACTCCCCGTGAAAATGCATTAATTCCTCGTCGTCTGTTGAGTAGTCGTCGTCATAAAGATTCTCTTCTTCACGCTCGGGAGGTTGCACATATGCACTAGCCATTCGACCATAATGACCTTCTCTCGTCTCTAGAGGAACTCCTAACTCAATATTTTTCTCAGTTCTTGACGATATAATCACACGTATTGGCTCTCCGACATTATCAACGGACATGGCTCCTGTTCTTGGCACCATTTCTTGCTGAGAAGAACTTTCGTCATCCACTCCGGCTGTAGTAGGTACATCCATCAGGAACGAAATGCTTTTTGGCGACTGAGCAAGCACTTGTCCCACGGGCTCAGCTTCGCTGTACTCGAGTGGATGCCCAAATGTGGCGCTCAAGTCCTGCGGACCATCCAACACAAGAATATGGTTACATTCTTCAGGCGAAGATTCCAACTGCAAATCCCGAGAGATTGCCAAGTCGTCAACAACGTTGTTCTCCAGCGACTGTTCAGCTACTGAAGAAGAGGCGCTCTCGGGCTTCCTCTCATCACCACGCTCTTCCATAATGACTCTATTTCCTACTGACTCTTGTTCACTGCTCTGACCAGAACCAGTATGCCTTTGCTCAGACAACTGGGATAGGGCAGCGAGCTCAGCTGACAATTTCAGTACGTCTCCATCACGATCACTTGATCTACGCTCAACCTGATCCTCTTCCAAATCAATAATTGTTCTCTGGTCGGTGTCAGAACTCTCTGAGGTCAATTTTGTCGCAGAGCGAATACGCTGACGTAACACTCTTGAAGGTGACGTTCCCTTGAGGAGTATACTCCCTTGTAGCTCATCAGCTTCTTCTTTGACTGCGCAGATGTCATCTTCTGATAGTAGCTCAGGTGATGAAGTTAAAAATGCTACTGTGGCATCATCAGCATCATTGTCATTCTTCGTTGCTACTGGCAGAATAATGCCGTACGTAGGGCTTTTGATTCCAAGGGGCTCCCACAGCTCTTGCGAGCCAGAAGGTTGCCGTGACTTTTTCTGATAAACTGTTTTGTTGATTTCTGTATGCGGAAGACTCGGCAATTGTTGCTCCTCCATAATGGAGTCAGTTGCAGTACGAGTCAGGACACTGGACTCCATATGACTTGGTTTCGTTACAGGGTCAAAAGGGATGGGTTCAGAACGAAATGTGTCGCTTTCAACAGCAGCTTCTTGAGCCAACCGATTGTTGTGTGCAGACAACGTTGTGGATTGTGTAGAGATTCCAGATTGAGGGTATATCCACTGCGCTGCATGTGCAGCCGATACTGGAGGTACTCTTGGTAAAACCATAGATGGTGCAGCTACAGCACGCTGAGACGGTTGTCCCACAAGAACTATCGGGTGGGCCAGCTCATCTTCCTCGGGTGAAACAGTCTCAACGTTTGAAGGTTGAGATAGAAAGCGAGTAGACAGATGAGGGGTAGAAGGCAAGGATGATGGGACTGAAAAGCCGTGAGCCACATCGGTGAATGCGCTTCTTGTAGATGTTTGCCTGACGTGGAGGTGTTTTCGCGTCTCAGGCCGAGATCGAGAGCCTTCACTGATAACACGACACGTGGGATCACTTGCGTCCTTATGAATAGTCGAAGCAGATTCTGAAAAATCTCAGTGGAGTGCAATTACTCGACTGCCCTTTATGTATTAGGTTGTCCGGAAAGTTCTCAGCGTTGTGGGTGTTTCACTTTGAACGATCGTAACTTTTTTAATACTCATCGGATTTAATCGAAATATGCATCATTCGAATCAGCACACTTTTGCCAATGTGACAGCAGTCGAGAAATGCCATCAAAGTAAAACGATGGGTGTTCGAAAATTCACGAAATCGACTAAGGCTTTTTTGCCTGGTCCTGATTGATGAAGTGTTTTCCAGCAGGGAGTTCTGAAAATGTTAGAAAAGGTGATAGTCGGTTGGCGAAAGGTCTGAAGAATATGGCGGTTGAGGTAGAACCTCAACCCCCAGTTCGTTCAATTTATGGATAGTGACTTGTGAAAAGTGTGGGCGGGCGTTGTCATGCAAAAGAATCGGACCCTTTCTTTTGATAAGTGCTGGCTGCAGCTGACAAAATTTTCGGTACATTTCGTCGATTCCTTCACAGTAGGGTTCTGCTGTGATGGTTTAGCCTGGTGATAAAAAGTTATAGTGGATCACACCAGCCGATGACCACCAAGCCGTGACCAGAATCCTTCTTTCGTGAGGGTTCGGCTTTGAAAATTACCTCGGTGGTTCCTCGGGATCCAACCACTGTCCGGAACGTCTCCTATTATCATACATGACCCATTTTCCATCACAGGTGACAATTCGGCCCAAAACAGGTCGTTTCTGCTGCGCAAAAGCAATGCAGAAGGAACCTCGACACGTGGCGATTCCTGCCGGTCACTCCGATTGTGGGGCACCCAAATGTCGAGCTTTTTCACCTTCCCAATGCGTTCCAGACCATCTGCAACAGTGGATTTGCCAAGGACTGGCTCTTCTGCTATCTCTCGAACTGTTTGGGATGGGTCAGCCTTCAAAATCCCCTTAAAATCCTCGGCAGATATGGCTTTAGGTCGACCGCTATGAGGTTCATCTTCAAGACTGAAATCTCCAGAGAAATTTGTTGAGCCATTGCCGCACAGTGCTTTCTCTAGCACTATTGGGCCCCTACACCTGGTTAATTTGTTGAGCTGTTTCGATTGCGGATTGCCCCAATTTATAGTCGAAGAAAAAAATCGTCCGAAGTGCTCTTTTCACATGCTTGAAAAAATCTTGAAAAAGGGGGTTTATCAAGCAATGGTGAAACGGCAATTATACCATCAAGTAGCGCAAGAAATTCTCTACAGGATGTGCTACTGAGAAGCAAGGCAGAATGAGTTTCTAACCAGCAGTGAATGTACAAAAAAAATAGGTGCACAAAACGCTGAGAACTTTCCGGACAACCTAATACAACACCAACACAAATGCTACACTCACCTGCAAACTGAGTGTTTCTAGATGAAAGGCTTAGACGAAGTGGTTCCACAACTGGAAGAATACGAGAGCGCACAGTCGGAGAACACGGCTCGGCTTCGGGTTCTCGCCTGCAGAAAATCATAAATCGTATTGTCGAAATCGTCAAGAAATGTAAAGGAAAGAAATTGGAGTAGCGGGAGTTACATCCAAGGAATCAATGTTTAGAAACCTCAGCTAGGCTAAGGTTTCTAAACATTGATTCCTTGGATAACAACCCTAAGCTCAGCTTTGGATATATGTGAATGGTGCTATATGCAAAATTTTCAAAGACAGTTGGCACGATAAATTCCTGGGACGAGTGGGATTTACACCTGGTACGACAGAATTCCGCGCCCCACAGCAGGAGCTGCGTAGCATCTTTCCTAAGGAAGGTACCCTTATAAAGCCCTATCAAGCCGCAAGATATCGACCCGGACGCCCATCGCCCCTATCCCCCGCCCACAATAGGACGACCCTATCTGATACCCGTACTACTTTATTTGCGAAGTGAAGCGAAGGGATTGATGTGAAACGGCTGCGGTACTACATGATATATATGAGTGCATACATGCAGCCGTATCTACCGTAGCCGTATCATTGGCAAAAACCTACGGGAAACTCGTACAAAATTGCTTTGTGAGTTATGAAGAACAAAGACTTCTTCGCAGGTTTCTAACCGTTTCACTTCGTTTTTTCGCCATTTTCCCTACCGTATAGGAACCTGCCAGCATTTTAGACCGAGTACCAAACTATCGTGCCATATGCCTTTAAGATTTGCGAAGAAAAAAACACCCTTCCTAACCTTCTCGATTTCCGGCGACTTTTCTTCCTGACTCTTCGCCTGGACTGTTCGTCAGATGAGTGCCTTTCTGCCTCGACGAGGACACCGGGAGAAAGGCGTGCAGGGAAATCCTCGCCACTGTCACTGCTTTCCGAAGCCTGAAAAAAGCTCAAGTTTATCCTACATCTACATCTGCTTTTTGTAAAAAAATTATGTAGCTATCGATGCTGCATCAGCGCTCACTCCGGAACATGGTTTCAAGAACTTGACGTCATGCATAGCAATGGTGAAACTTTAGGTTGATGAGGTGACACTTTATGAAGCAAATCTCAACTGAGTGCTGTTTTTGCTTCAGAGTTTTGTAAAGCAGAAAAAGGTGGCTATAGCAAGTCTAAACCATACAACTCGTTCGCAATGAGAATTCAAAAGATAAGCTCATATAGCGAAAACGCCCAGTTCTTCGCTAGAGAACTACTCCAACCTTGCTACGCGCATCTCTGCAATTTGAATTTTATTGCGACTTTGGACATCAAATGACACTTGTGGGCTCCAAACACACAAACGTCTACACTAGAAATGATTCCACATATATACTCACGCTTACGCGAATCGAATCACTGACGCCATAATTCTAGAGCAGGATACGTATCTGCCATCGCTATTCAAATTAAAGTATGTCGCACAGTGACTGTACTGATTACTGATCATACTTTGCGTCGGCGTTTTGAAAGACTAGGAAACCGTAGGTGTGGATCTAGTGTACGGCAGCGTTCCGAGCGACCAAGAAAGTATGGATGTGGCGTCCCAAGTGACGACCCTTTTATGCTTGATCAAGTGCTTTGAGCGTACGCCAGCTTTCACAGCAACAATTCGCGGAAAATTCAAGACTACCCGCAAACCTTTAAAACGCTGCCGTAAGGCGTACGCTCGAAACGCTGCCGTTCGCTAGATCGATACCTACTTTCCTAGTCGCTCAAGGCGCTGTCAACCCTTTGGAGTGCAATGACCATTGAGCCACTTCGACGATTGCTAACTGGTTTTCAACACTACCCATTCATTCCAATCACACAAACTTAGTAACATATAGTACAAATTTAGCAGCCCCGAGAAATTCTGCTTGCCCGTTTGTAAATACGGATTTGTGCGACACTTCCGACAAAAATAATGCGAGGACTAGGGTAAACGGATGTAAGCAAAGGTAAGGCACCCTGAAACCAAGTGACCCCCAGTAAATCCACTGAAAACGACCAAAAAACGCAACCCATGCCCTTGCGCGATTGTTTCTGCGACGCTGACACAAGAGGACAAAATTCCTGTCTTTCGAACTGCAAACTTCATATGACTGGCATTTTGGAAGCTGTCGAACTGATCGAAGAAACGTGTATCACAGCAGGCAATAAGGAAATCTTTACCTTCAAGCGACTTGAGTGAGAGGCGGGTTCTCCCAACAAATTGGGCGAAAGATATCGCGTTGATGGTCCTGGTCCGTCATCGAGAGGCCAGAACCGATCATCGACGAATTGCAGAGCATCCGAAGGTGAATCCCTCTTGTCGTCCGCTGATGTGCTGGGTCTGCTACGGCGGTCCCGCTTTGCCTTCCTGCGCCTATGCTTCCGATGGCCTTTCTAAATAAAAGAGGTGAATCAACGGGATTGACGATGCGAAAAGCGGAGTGGGAATAAAAAAAACCGACGAGGCTGATTGTTAATTTGATTGGCTCCTTGGTGATTGGAGGAGACATAAGCTTTGGAGAAAAGGGGAAACTAAATGTTAAACGTTAACGAAAAGGAATAAAAACAGTAAGAACGTCCTGAAAAAACCAACTTCGGATTTCTGCTGATATCAGGCGATTCCAGTCCTGAATGTCTTCCAGAATCGTCATCCGTAGATATGGAAGGGCAAAGTTCAGGGTGCCGTTGTCGTACATGTGCTGCAAACATTGTCCGCCGGAGCAACATCCCACACACCTAAACCTTCCATAAAACATGATGGGAAGTCAAGTTGACAAAGAAGTAATCACTTGCATAAAACTGTTTCATGCAAAGAAAGAGGACTACCGGGCCGAACCCAGAAGGAGAAGCGTGTCACAAGCTATTGAAGAGGGCACCACTCGCTAGAGCCCCGTATCCCGAATCAAGGCTCTGGCTCAGTGATGACTATGTCTGCCCTCTTCTCTGCGAGACATCCCTTGCGCTCTGAGACTGAGCTTGTTGCGGAAGGGGTACAGAAGCGCGTTCGAGTGGTCCCCTCCCCTCCACCCAAATGTCACTCCGGTTTCTGTCTAAGGCTAGGGAGGGAAGGGCTTCTCCGGTAGGTGACCCAATTCGGTGGGTAAACGAGAATTTCGCGCCAAAAAAAATTCGTTTAGCATAAAATTGGAACTATTCAACTACTACCACCTTAGTCTTCAGAAATCAGGCCAGTTTTCTACCGAGGTTTTTTCTACGAGGCAGGCTACGAAGGCAGGCTTGGCTGGAAATTTGCTTCTAGGGGTAGTACTACTTCTTGAACACGAGTACGCACATGCTTGGAAATGTGCTAAATCACCAAAATCGCTGAAAACTTATCTCTGACGGGAGTCTATGCTTCCCAATATGAACATCACATCCGCCTGGCGTCCGCGCCCCAGTCACCAGCGGTAAAATATCTTCTATCGCCATAATCGATGAAAGCTTGTATATGGACCTACTGATTACAGACGTGACACTCTTGGCGCCGGTGCTAATAGAGGACACTGCAATCATCTGCGCTATATTAAAGCTGAGCCTGGCCTCAAGGGAAGCATTCCTACTCACCGGCTCAACCACTGTAGAACGCCGGATAGATGAATGAATTCTATTCGGTCGGCCCATAAGCAATGGCGTTTTTTTCCACTCGAAATATCGCGCTGAAGATGAAAAGTTTTGCCATTGAGATTTAGACCGTTTTACAGAGAATTAATTGCCCTACACGATAGTCTCCATAGTTTTCTTCAGGTTTCTCTTCCCACTAATATATAAGGGCTGAAACTGGGGTGTCAGGGCGAAATTGAGCGTTTTCGACAGCCTCTCGTTTATACCTTCAATTAAGAACAGAAACCGCATGGGACCAGTAGCTAATTATACGGCTAAAGACTATGTCGCTTAGAAGGGCTAATAATACTTTAAGTGAATCGAAGATTCCAGTGTCGACCTCACAGACAAGCATCGCACGCTATGCTCTATTCTGTCCAACCGAGAGCTTGAGGAATTACCTTATTAATTGAGAATTATGGAACCTTGATTGAGGAACCGTTAGAGGTCATAGTATACTTTCTTATCATTATCAACCACCAGAATAATTGGTCAGACCACTTGCGTTGTACGGGGCTGAGTGTTGGCCTGCAACCAAGGAAGTCGAAGCCAGCCTCAGTGTGATGGAGGTGAAAATGCTACGTTGGATGGTTGTGTCACTCGAGGTGCTCGGCAAACGACCGAGAGCACGCCCCATGCAACGTTGGCTTGACACGCTGCACGCGGATTTAAAGATTGTTGGTGTTCACCCTGATCAGGCATTCGACCGGAATAAATGGCGTAATAAAATCAGCAGAGCGGGACAAACACTGAAGAATAAGAAGAAGATCAACCAACCACCACCTCAGGTGATGCTAGACGTCCGAAAACAAGTGGATAGGTTAGGCAGGCAGTCCCCCCGAGAGGCCCCCCAGGCGATGCTCTTTTACAAGGTCCGAATTCCCAGCTCTTGATCGCGTGAACCAATTTCAAGCTGTCATAAGCCGCATCTCTCCTTGGTCATATACACCACAAGGTTCGAGCTTCTTCTGTAGATTGAGAGCCGACATAAAATTCAAAAAGTAGTTGTCGACAACTCACTTTTGGGTCGACTCGAATTCCCATTTCAATGAAATAAAAATCGAAACAAGCCGAGAGATAGTAAGAAGGCAATTATACTATCTTATAGTGCGGAAAATTATCTATCAAACAGTGTAGAGCACATTCGCAACGACTGTCGTTTTCCATATCGAAATCTGTGTGAAAAAAACGCCATCACTTATGGGCCAACCTACTATATACACGATCAGGCATCAGACACCCCCCCCCCCATGTAAGTTTTTATGCAATGGCTGTAAATGAATGTCACGTTCGCGAGCAAAGGCCGAATAACCCCAATGCGCAAGTATACACCAATAGTGGCGAAAACTGTTGGCGCCGAAGTGGCACCAAATGGCCTCTCAAATATGACATGTGATCAGAGCATGGAATAGCCTGTATAGGCGAAGTTTCAGCAATTTTCTTTAGTTTCTGGGGTTGTAATAGTTGAATAGTATTCGAAGTCCTACAGCCCCTACGTCCACTCCAAGGCGAGCAGTGCAAAATAGATAATCCACCATAACAAGAAACAATGAAGTATGCCAAAAAGTAACTCTCCGAATTCGTAAAAGTGGATTAGGAGAAACCTGACACCTCACCTGACATTTGACATGCTCATCCATTGCATCGTGATAAGCGATATCGAAATGATGTCCGCCTGAACTATTGCTACATGAAAAAACTTTCGGCCGCACTTTAAAGCAAACTTATTCAGAGGCAGTGGAGAACTTACGAATGATCGGTAACGGTACATTGTCATCGACGATTGAAGGACGTGAGACACTGGTGGTAGACTGTGAAGCAACTGCTTCAAATTGATGAAAGAAGCTATTCCAGTCGCCGCCCTGGAAAAACCATCAGTTATCTGGCGGTTTACAAAAACTGTTTTCCCCCACAACGTGACTTAGCCCAGCTATAGTCCACTTCTATTTTGCGAAGGGGGATATGAGAGTAGGGAATCAGCGCTTCAGGACAATGCGGAAAAGCATGAGCACCGACCTGTCAACTAGCAGCCCTCGGGAACCCCCTTACATTTCTGGATTTTTTCATGAGTCTTTCCGATATTCAATTGTTGCGAAAAAGTTCCAGCAACCTTGACGACAAAAGTAAGACACTAACACATAAAGGCACTAACCTGGAGCTTATCCATTTGGTCAGGTATTCGTACAAGTAGTGTTACGAGATTACGCTCGACCTCGGCGTCATTAGAAAACCTGCAGTAGTCGTGTAATTGCGTGCTAACGAACAACAGTGTCCGTGTTTACATACGGCCTCCCTTACTTCACGCAGCCACCCTACCCTCAAGCCAGCGTCCATCCACCATCGTTGAAGAAATTCGAAATACATAGAGGAAAAGGAATGCGCTAATGTAGCTGAGTAAAAACGCCTTCTTATCCGTTCTACTAATCGAGACTAAGACCTAGTGGAGACTCCACTGGATCTGTGAACCTCGGCGAACCTGATCGTCTGCGCCCTAAACCTAACCCTTTTCTAGGGACAGGTACCGAGGCGCGGCCAAGTGGTACATCCCCTCTTCACCCTCGACTACTGCCAAAAAGAGGGCATACGTATCGACATGACGAAATGACGAATCGGAAGAGTTGCAGAACTGAATCATTACTCTTCCCTAAACATCTTGGAGCTAAACGATCAACCCCGTCTGCTCTTATCTTCGAATTCGCCATTTCCGCAGATTCCGCATGTCTCGCGATTCTCATTCCTTCGGATCGATACATGCACTTTTCTTTCCCTGCAGAATCGTCATTTCCTTGAAGTCGTCGTGTATGAAGGCGGCCTAAGCTGCGATTATACTTTGTGACAGTGGAAAATTGACGAGTTTAAGTTGTAAAGAGGAATGGATGCGTACCGATTTGAAGGGCTGACGAATTGGCGGAAAGGGTCTGATAGTCGATTCTCAGGTCGATAGGTATCTAATCCCTTTTGTCAGTTCGTCAGCTATTCAGATTTCACAAGTCATCAGTTCTTCAGGTTTTTGCGAATACATTTTTCTTCGCGTTTTCTCTTTACCGTCGCAAGCAGGGCACGTCATCGCGTTGTGGAATATTTCTGCTGGATACGTCTCCTCCTCCCCGTGTCTCGCTGCAACTCCCGAAAAAAGTTGGAGGTTACGTGACATCTTGAACTTTTGTGCATGGTCCTGTTACGAAACCCTGCGACGCAGGCGGATAGAGGGCAGCGGCTGCTAAAACTTTGAAACGTGCAAAAAACGTATGGCTAGTCAGGAAACGGGATTTTTCAAGGGGAGGGGACTCCGGTGTGGGTGAGCTACCTATAGTCGGTGAAAGCTAGAGAGAGAAGTCACAACGGCCATAGAGTGCCATGCGGACGAGAGAGTGCAGAGAAAAAGAGAAGATCGACGCGATCAAATGGACTAACCAGAAAAGGTCAACAGGTCAGCCTGGCCATTTGCAGTGAGATGCAGAACTCAAAACTATCTTCAAAATTTGCGCAACAATTCTCTCAGCGGAGTTAGAGAGGTTTTTTCTTTACTGTTTTTCTTCTTACGGGCACGCTGGAGCCGAAGCGTTAGCACATGTAGCGCGAGTCACACGGCTCTTCGCGCAAAACTGGTTTCATATTCGTGTTCAGGGGGTCAAATTACCCTAGGGACGTCACTTTAGCGGAGTCTGAGGTTCTGACTCAGCTCCGAAAAAAATGGGGTATGGATAGTCATGGCTGAATAGCTGACAGCGATACTATGACTAGCATACTGGTGATGACTGGTCTTCAAACTGAAATAAGTCTTCAGTCATGTCTTTCAAACAGCAGTACCTGGCTTACTTATTTGTGCCATCTGCATCATTTTCTTGACTATCGGGAGGAAATCCCATTCCGAGACCAGCCATCGATGGTAGGTGAGCTCCAACCTGCTGCTCAAACCCATGGAATAGCCCACATTTTCCAAGTGAGATCGAACTATCAGATTTGGCTAGAAACTTGTCCCCAGGGGTAATTCAACCAGTTGAAGATGAATATGATGGTATTTCATTGCAAAAATCCTTGTGACACGTGTTACGAGGAGTACGAGCAGAAGCACTCTTCAATCCACAATGAGTCTACACTTTCAAAAAAAAAAACTGGTCGCAGGTTACCTTATAAGGTAGTGCAGGTAAGCAGAGATGTTAGAAGCTTTGTCGGCTATGTCCTTGGAATGCAAAAAAACCGATCTGCTCCGGAAACGTTCCTACGACGTCTCGCCTAGGAAACCCGCTCCCTAACCGTTGCGCTCTACTACCACGTTTTAGCATGACTCCATACATAAATGTAAAGACGCTTCCACGTTTCCTCGCGATAGCATGTGAAACGACCACGCGGGGATAAGACCCTCCATAACTCCGTTCAGAGAATCGTTCCGCAAATTCTGAAGGTAGATTTGAGTTCAGTGTCCCAAGACGCGTACAACGGTGTGCAGCTCATTGGAAATGGCCAGGCTGACCTGTTGACCTTTCCTGGTAAGTTCAAATTGTCCGTAGACCAAATCTTGTCAAAACAGCTCAGGAACTCTGGAAGCACTGTTTATTTTTTCGAAGTTTCATAACTTTTTCAAGAGTGGAGTATGAGGAGGGAAAAGAAAGTGTAAAGCTATAGGTTCGTTCTTCATCAAACGTCCCTGAGCAATTTCCGACACTTCTTTTTTTGAGGACCAGTCAGATCGCCTGGCTGACAGCGAGCTCCCCCCTTCTGTTTAGCCCGACTTCGCCGGGCTGGCTGTGCTTAGCCAGGGGCACTTCATAACGGTAACAGAGTTCGTTCAGTTCACTCTTAGAGTGTATTTCCGAGCTCACGCTCATATCTGGAGGAGGGCAGGCGGTTTGGGCAATAAAGCCCATGCTATACATCGCGTACACATTTGAACCTGGTTGGTTGTACATTTTCTTCACACTGCCTTATTACTCGCTCATACCAGTTACTAAATGTTCAGAAGTGGAAACAAACTGTCCCTGAACACATAGAGTGGTCATATCAATCAGGTTTTGATCCTTGATTCTCTTGATTTTCTCTCAGTTTCCTGTTTCTACATATTAGGTTGGTGCATAAGTTCTTTCCCCCGACTTTTTTGTAAATATCTCAATAGCGAACCAGCCTGAAGATTAGACATGCACCATAACCGTCCACTACTCGACTCCAACGCTCAGGCAGCTTGCCGATTCCATGGTCCCAGAAGGACGGGGCTGGGACCCGAAGAAGGCCACGATGCCCCACAATCAATCACCACTGTGACATGGCTTTGCACTGGTAATTGTGCGGCATTATAGCCTGCAAATGCAGGGTGGGCGAGTGATAGCTAGTGTGACGAAAGAGTATTATGTACATACATGTCACGCACACGTGATGACAAAATACCAACATCCATGCAAACGAAATATGGAAGGATCAAAACAGGGGGAAAAACTTATGCGCACCAGCCTGATACTACATTCCCCCCTACCCCGGGCCCTCGCTCGGCATCATAACATGCGTACAATGCCTGCCGCCAGCACCGTGAAGGCTCTACCGCTTTGAATGAAAAACTACGGCAACGCTCCTTACTAGTCCTTATCAGCTGTTATCACCCTCTGTGCCCGCCGTCGACGTCCCCACCTCCCCCTGTATATCAAGTGCTGGAATAAACGCCTGGCTGATGCGTTGTCGTGACTTTCGCAGACTTCATCGCACAGTCCGCCCTTACGTTAGTCGCGCAGTTTACATGCAACCGGACCGGATTGGTTAAGGGCCTCTTCACAGTCCGCACTGGGGTCTTACTATAGACGCGCACTATAGTGTTCGCTGACTATTCGACGCAGTTTCTCATTTTGGGCCCACAAGCAGTTTGGGCTGGCCTAATTCGGTTGGATCGGAGTCCGCTTTCTGCGTCTGTCGTCCACCTATCGCCTCACCTTCCACCTTCCGCCCGAGGCTCGTCCTTGCCCAGAACTTGCCTTCATTCCTCGTCCTGGTCAGTTGCCACCCTGGGGCGACACCGTCATGCGCACCTTCGCATTCGTCCTGTATTCGAAAATCGTCGCTGATGGATCTCGCAAGGAGTTGAAACGCAGGCAACTCGTACTCCCCTGGTCGCAAGTGTGACGCAGGTCCTCATGAATGCATCTGGTCACGAGTGCGAGGGTGGAGAGTCTCCGTGGCCCTTAATGACGCAGGCAGGTGGCACGTACGTTTATTGTTTGGCGTTTGTTAGCTGTGGTTTATTGCGTATATTACTTATTTCGATTTCTTGTCGTTTTCTATTACTCTCAGTTGTTTGCCACACTTTCTATTTCGTGACTAATGTGTTGTCCAGTAGTATGAAATGTCTAATTAGGCCCCGGTTATTGATGAGCACGCAGATTCCCTGCAGCTTCCGCAGCTATGATGAGATGAAAGAGGGCACACGATCACACCGCAAATCTTAGGAGTAGAAGGGATTGCAGAGGCCAACTCCCTAAAAAATGATAGGTGAGCGCAGAAACCCAGTGAAGGTAAGGGGATGAGGACGCAACGTTGCCGCGTGGCACCAAGGTTGTTACCGGAAGAGGTCCCTTTGACCTCAAAGCCCAACACGATGTCAAGCCCCCTGACATGTCACCGATGCGCAGTACCTACACGGGAGATTCGGAGGAACACGCGTCGCGACATGGTGCATCGGAGCTGGGGTTGGAAGTGTTATAACACACGTTCAGCCTTAGTGATCGAACCTCTCTCAACGCGTAGAAGACTGGTGGAGAGACCACTTAGGAAACACAGGCGGATCCGCCGGCTTACTTCCGAGATTCTCGTCCGTCGGCTACGCAGGAGGCTCGACTGGGCTCTACGTTCACCACCCTAGTAGTCAAGTGCATGCATCGGAACCTGGAGTGGCACCAGCCGCCTTTGCTGAACCTGACCTCAGCTGCAACGTAGGGAAAGGGAAGGATATCCCTCTGAGACATGGTAAAGGAAGCATAGGAGACTCCACAAGTACTCAGGCCGTATTCTCGGTCCGCAACCAACGCCGAGACCTCGACTAGAACAACCGTGCAGGTTCCGTGTTGGGTTCGGAGTGTCCTCCCTACCAAAATCTACTACTAAGGCTCAAACTCTTCGCTACTCCTCAATAACTTCGCCACGCTTAGTTCGTGCTGTCTATCACTCTCGTGGATTTATCGTCTCAAG